TGCTGCTGCTGCTGCTGCTGCTGCTGACGCTGAGGGTCCAGCAGGCTCAGAGCCTGCGCCGGGAGAGACGCAAGCCGGAGCTGCAGCGGAAGCAGATGATGCAGCAGCAGCAGCAACAGCAGCAGCAGCGGAAGCAACAAACACACAAGACGCAGAAGCAGCAGCAGAAGGAGAGGCAGCAGCAGATGATGAGATCACTGCAGCAGAGTACCTGAGGATGGCGAAGAGAGTTTCGGTCGGTGCTGCGGCCATTTTGCTGCCGCTGCTGCTGCTGCTGCTGTTGCTGCTGCAGTCTGCCGGCTCTCCTGCTGCTGCCGCGGCCCACTACCTTATTCGCTGCGGCTGCTGCGCCATGCCAGCTCACCAGCAGCTGCTGCAGCCTCCTGATTTGCTGCTGCTGCTGCTGCTCCTGCTGCCTGCATCTGCAGGTTTGTATGGAAGAAGATGCTGCTGCTTTCAACGGCCGCCCGCTTTCCCCCAGAGCTTTGCTGCTGCAGTCTTGGCTGGCTCTCTTGGAGCACAAGTCCGTCGCCCGCTGCTGCTGCTGCTGCTGCTTTTGCTGCTGCTGCTGCTGTTCTGGTGTGGATGCTCGCTCTCGGCTTGTGTCCAGTGCTTGCTGCTGCCGTCACTTTTGCTGCTGCTGCTGCTGTCTTTTCTTGCTGCTTCATTTGCTGCCTCTGCGGCTGCTGCCTTTGCTGCTGCTGCTTTTGCTGCTGCTGCTGCTTTCGCTGCTGCTCCAGTTTTCGTTTGTTGCTTTCCTTCACATCTATCGTTTTGCATGCTCCTTTTCGTTGTTTATTTTTATTTTTAATTTCTTTGTCTCGATTCACTTTTCTTTTTTTCTCTTCTTGCTGCATTTGTCTTAATGGTCTTTTTAATTCTTTTTTATTATTCCTCCTTCCTTCTGTTTCCTCGAGCTTCTTTGTTGTTTTTGCTATTTGTTTTGTTTTATTTATGATTTTATTTTGCTGCTGCATGCAGTGCTCTGCAGCAGCAGCATCAGGAGCAGCAGCAGCAGCAAACTCACGCCTGCTGCTGCTGCCGAGGCGTTGTGTCTGGTTTTGTATGCGTCGTGTCTTTGCTGCTTCTGCATGCAGCCCCAATTAATTAATTTAATTTAATTTAATTTAATTAATTTCATTTTGCTGCTGCTGTTTGCTTTTCAGATTTGCTGCTGATACTGCTGCACTGCAGCAAGGCGTTTCGCTGCTGCTTGCTGCTTGTGCAGCACGAGTTGCTGAGGGCAGCAGCAGGTAACTCTTTTTGCTGCTGCTTTCCTTTATTTTAAATCAATTTAGTTTATTTTATTTTAGTTTAATTTGAATTATATTTTTAATTTGTTTTTAATTACTTTAAATTACATTTTTATTTTTTTAAATTACCTTTCTTATTTGCCTCTCTCCTGCTGCTGCGCTGCGTCTGCTGCTCTCGCAAATTCTTTTTATTTTTGTCTTGTTTTATTTTTTTATTTATTTTATTTATTTTATTATTTTATTTATTCATTTTTGATTTTATTTATTTTTGTTTTATTTTGTTTTATAACTTTTCATTTACTTGTTTCTTTTATCCTTTTCTTCATTTTGCAACTTCCTCTCCAAGTGCTGCTTCCACATTTATTTTTATTTTCATTTATCTTCCTTTTTTGTGACAGAAACTGCTGCTGCTGCTGCTGTTGTTGCTGCTGCTGCTGCTTCGCTGCTGCTGCAGTCGGGTTTGCCGCCGCGTTTTGCTCCCGCTGCTTCTGGCGCTCTGCCGCGGCCGCTCCTGCTGCTGCTGCTGCTGCTGCTGCACTTGCTGCTGCTGCTGCTGTTGCTGCTGCTGCTGCTGCAGCATTTATTGAGTTTGTTCTTTCTCGTGCAGCAACTCGCAAAAACCTCCACCTCTTTTCTTGGCTCTGCTGAAATCTCCAAATTTGCATTTTGGCCAAATCTCTGCAGCTGAGGGCCGCAGACTCTCCCGGGTTCGATTCCCAGTGATGAAATTAATTATTTAATTATTTAATTTAATTTAATTAATTTAATTAATTTAATTAATTAATTGTTGGGCTTTTCATCAAAGGCTGCTGAAAATAGGTCAAGTTCTCCAGTTCTCCCGCTAGCATCGGCTTTCCTCACTTTGGATGGAGGGTTTAGGGTTTAGGGTTTAGGGTTTAGGGTTTAGGGTTCTGTGGGGGGAGTCTTGGTGCTGCAGGCTGGCGCCCTTGTTGCATGCGCCTTCGGGGCGTGAAACAGTTAGTAAGGGCAGCAGCAGCAGCAGAGTGTGCTGCTGCTGCTGCAGCTGCTGCAGTGGCAGCAGCGAAAGCTGCAGTGTCTGCTTGTGCTGCAGCAGCAGCAGCTGCTGCTGCTGCTGCTTCTGGCTTTAAGTTTACGTTTTCTCCTGCCTGCTTCAAGCGCAACTCTTTCTTAATATTTTTCAAGTAATAACTCCAGCCGTAGCAGCAGCAGCAGCAGCAGCAGCAGCAGCAGCAGTAGCAGCAGCAGCGACGCAGTGCGCACGCAGCTGCTGCGGAAAAAAGCAAATTAAATGGCAATGAGTTATTTGGCAAATAAAAATAAAAAGAGAAAAACAAAAATTAGAAAAAGAAAATTAAAAATTGTGAAATAAAATAAATCAAAGAAATGCAAAAGGAAGAAAACCACAAACAAATTAATTAAGAAAAAGCCCCAAGAAAGAAAAGACTGACAAATGCATGCATCTATCTATATCTATATATATATTTATATATATATTTATAAAAATATATATATAATATTTACATATATATCTGTATATACATCATAATATATATATATATATATATATATATATATTTGTATATGTTTTTATATATATTTGTATGTATATTTATATATAATATTTATATAAATATATGCATAACATTTACATATATATTTGTATATACATAGTATATATATGTATTTGTATGTGTTTTTACATATATTTATATATTTATTCATATATGTATTAATGTATATATCTGTATATGTATATATTTATACATATATCTTTATAAATTCGTTTGCATATATATAAATGTAATATATATTTATACATGAATACATATATATATATATATGTGTGTGTGTGTGTATATCTATTTGTAATAATATGTATATATATATATAGATTCAAATAAATATAATTTTCATTTTTATTTATTTATATTTTAATGAAACTCCAGTGCCAAAAGTGTCCAAATGAGATCTTCTATATTTCTTTTCGAATTTTACTCTTTGAATTCAAAAGAAAACAAATCTTAATTGATCTGACTAGTAAAAGGAGTTTTAAAGCCGCGAGGAACTTATTGGGGCCTCTGTTGCTGCAGCAGCAGCTGCAGCAGCAGCAGCTGCTGCTGCTACTCCTGCTGCTGCTGGCAAAGATAAAGCAGGAGCAGAAATGGAGTGGCTGGGCTTTAAGTTTGGCGCGAAGTTTAGAGCTGCTGCTGCGGCCTGGTGCTGGAAAGTTTATTATTTAAATTAAAAAATTAAAATTTGAATTTAAAATTAAATTTATTTTTTGAATTCTCCAAAACTCAAAATTTGCAATTGGAGGAGGCGAGGTCACTCGGGAGTTATTTCGGAAACTTCGCAGCTGCGGCAGCATTTTTCAAATTAAAAAGAATTAAAATATAAGTTTTATTGTTTTTAATTCATTTATTTGTTTTAAATATTCAAATTTTAAATAGTTTGCCAACAAACTTGGTGAGCTGTCGTGGGAAGTTCAGCGAACTCGAACTGACTCATCGAGGCCAGAGTATGAAAAAAGAATAATTAAAATTGAATTTTAATTTCTTAAATATTCATTTTAATTTGTTTTAAATTTATTTTAATTTAATTTATTTTATTTTAAATCAATTTTATTCGTTTTAGTTTATCTGCGGCTGCGGTGTCTGGGGCTCCAGAGATCATTAGTTAAATGATCTCCAGAGTTCTCTGGAGTAGCGCATTTAACTACACAATACTATTTAATTAATTAATTAATTAATAATTAATTAATTAATTAATCCATCAATTAATCAATTAATTAATTATTCAATTAATCAACTAATTAATTAATTAGTTAATTGTAGCTCGAGGGAGAAAGCAGTAAAGAACTATAGAGCAGCCCCAAGAGAAGAACGAAGAACTTCAAATTTGATTTAAAAGTAGAAAAAGTGTAGACTTTTATTTTTTTTAATATTTTTAAAATAAAATATTTCAAAAAGAGTAAAAATGGGCGGTTTGGAGGAAAAAGTGGGAACGAAATGAATCCAAATGAAAGCCCAGACCTTGCAAACAATAAATCCGTTTTGTCACGTATATACACTCGAAAAAAGGAAATAAATGAAATATTAATTGGCCCTAGAGGGCCCTCCAAGGGGCCACGAGCCTCCAGGAAGAAGTATAAAGACAAAAATGACATAAATAGAAAAAGTGGATTTGAAAAAGTGGAAAAAGAAACAAAAAATGCACAGTTTGTGCGTTCTGCGGTATGTACAGGAAACGCAGCAATTTTCATTTGTAATTCTGAAATGGAAATTCCAAACTTTGGAGTTTTTGCAGACACAAAGAGAAGCTTTTGCTGATTTTAGGAAGTCCTTTTGGTGTAGAAGCTTCAAATTGCATTAATTTCGAACTATATTTATGAAAAAACATTTAAAAATAAAAAGAAATTGAACTTTTGCGTTGACTGAAAAGTGGAAACTCCTAATCTTGTATTCTTTTAGAAAACTTCAGCAAGAGCTGCTTTGCATGCACTTTGCTTAAATAAAAATGTCTAATAATCCAGACTTTTGAATTTAATGCATTTAAATAATCTTTTTAAAATAAAAAGTGAAATATTAAATTAATTTTACCGATAAAAAGACAAAAAAGAAAAGAAATTGAAAGACAATTCGGCAAATTGTCTTTCAATAAAGTTGTTTGAAACTTCGAGCAAATTGCAAAACAGAAAAGAATTCACTCATGAATTTAAGTGGACTTTTTGCATTTTTGCAAGATGAAGATTTAAAAAAAGAAAACACAAAAAGAATAAACTTCTACATCCTCAGTCCCAGTGCATGCAACTGATTTCATTTTGGCTTTTTCTTCAAAGAAATGAAACTTTTAAAAATAAAATATAAAACTTCTCTTAAAAATAAAAAAAATAATAAAATTAATTATTTGCCCTCTTAAAGATTTGAAAAAGAAATAAAGCTTTTGTAGCTTAGATTTGGCCGCATGCAACTTTTGAATATTTTATTGTTATTTAAATGTTTGAATATTATTATTCAAATATTTAAATACTTTATTATTTAAATATTTAAATACTTTGGTATTATTCAAGTTTTTAAATATTATTTGAATATTTAAATATTATTGAATGTTTGAATGGTTGAATAATATTCCAAAATTTGAATATTTGAATGTTTTTGCATTATTTGAATATCTGAGCATTTCAATTATATTTGGATATTTAAATTATATGTGAACACTTGAACATTGTTTAAATATTTTAATATTATTTTACAATTTAAACATAATTTAAATAATTAATTATTTGAACATTTGAATATTATTTGAACATTTGAATGCCTGAACACTTGAATGATTGAGCACTATTTGAATGTTTAAATATAATTTGAATATTTAAATAAAATTTGAATATTCAAATATAATTTGAACATTTGAATATAATTAGAATATTTAATTATTTGAACATTTGAATATTCTTTGAATACTTGAATATTATTTGAATACTTGAATATTATTTGAATACTTGAATGCTTGAGCACTATTTGAATATTTGAATATTATTTGATTATTTAAATATAATTTGAATATTTAAATACAGTTTGAATATTTAAATATGGTTTGAATATTTAAATATAATTTGAACATTCAAATATAATTTGAACATTCAAGTATTCGAATATTATTCGAATATTTGAATATTCAGAAAGGAACTTCAAACAGGAAACTTGCGCATTTAAGAGATTTCTTTTCGAAAAAAATTAAAAGTTTTCAAAAATAATTTGGGTGAACTCGAATTTATAAAAAGATTATTAATTGCAAAAAATTCTTTTTATTCTTATCCTGTTGCAGCAAAAACCTCAGCAGCAAACGCTGAGTTTTGCTGCTGCTGCACTCGAAGCAGCAGCAAATGCTGAGTTTTGCTGCTGCTGCACTCGAAGCAGCAGCAAACGCTGAGTTTTGCTGCTGCTGCACTCGAAACAGCAGCAAACGCTGAGTTTTGCTGCTGCTGCACTCGAAACAGCAAAACATGTCAATTTCCTTCCA